CAGGAACTGTACATGTTGGTCAGGAACTGTACATGTTGGTTATTGTAGGAACTGTACATGTTGGTCAGGAACTGTACATGTTGGTCATTGTTCGACTCATTGATAATTCAACATTTTATGTCAATGAACTTTGAGCGGGATGAGGTTACCGACATATGATACCCCATTTAATTCTATCACAAATATCTTCACATCTACACAGATGTCCGTCCCAAAATATTGATGTAAAATATCAATCCTTTCCATCATTTTTATCATATTATCTATGCTTTGATCAAAGTGGTCATAACATTGTACAGTATCAATGAAAAATATCTTCACATCTACACAGATGTTCGTCCAAAAATATTGATGTAAAATAACAATCCTTTCCGTCATTTTTATCATATTATCTATACTTTGATCAAAGTGGTCATAACTTTGTACAGTTTCAATGAATAAACGTGACAGTAACTGGTCTGCATGAATTTTTGTATGCAAACATATTGATAAATGTCTTATGAAAATACATGGTGTGTCAGATGTCAAGAGTATGTGATTGAATATAGGGTTTTTTCGCGATCTCATCCCATAAGACTGAATTGAAAAATTTAAGCTACAATTCACCAGCTACTTAAATATAAATCACAGTGACGGGTAGTATATGTGACTTACAAAATCAACAGGCATCAATGTAAAGGAAGTCAATCAAACAAAACCAACAGGTTAAATGTCCTTTTTTATATGCAAAGGGATGTAACTCTAAAAACACTTTTAGGTATTATTAGAAAGGGAAGTACTTCAAACAAATTCAGAGATATAATATGAAAGGGATGTTCCTTAAACAAACCGATACATACAGAACTTTTTTTACAATATCCCTAAAGAGTGATAACTTCAATACAAGTCACAGGTACTATTTGTAAAGGTATCATCAAATGATTCATTTACTCCTTTATTTCAAATACTTATCATTCCACATCTGTAAACTGGGACACCAAGTTCATGTCAATTTTAATTTGAATGATGTCCTCTCATTACTCAGTATATCCCCAGAATATATTAACAAAATCAGAGCACAATTCCGTAGCACTACTTCTCTAAACCTAGGATCAGTAATACAGTAAATAAACAATGACTAGTTCTATATTTATTTTTTAACTCAACATGGTGCAGATAACAAGTAATAACTTTTGTTTTTAGGTGATTAGCCACTTTTTAAATTAGTGTAAAATATTCTTCTGCCCAATGAAACCGATAAAAATGTTAAATCATTCTGTACCAGAAAGATTTTCCAACAAAAATCACAGGTATAACGTGTAACAATGGAAAAATAAAGATGATATTCAATGGTTTTCCTCTCTAATGACCACATATACTTAACCCTGTGACCCCTAATTAGCTTTAGTACACTCTGCCATACATTTATCTGGGCGAGTCCATTATGGTATATAGTGGTTAAAGGGTTAACAAGTACGGCATAATATCAATATCTTTCATGAGTGTTAAGCGGGAGAGAAAATATACCATAGGTATAATATTCAAGCCATCATCGCTTGTCAAGGGTTACAATCAGGTACAATCTGGTCTACCTACTCTTAGCTCTAGGCAGATCAAGTCTGTGTTTTCAGAATCATAGTTGGTCCCATCCGATTCCATGCAGCCAAGACTGGCTACATCCAATCAAATTACATTTACAAAACAAAGATGTAAACATGGAGGAGCACAGACTTTCACTGTTTCCTCCCAGCTTAATGTATGTTTGGACGATGACACGTAAAATATACAAGCGGGTATTGTTTTACTTAATTGAATAGACTGTCAAAAATTGAATACAGTATTGCACATCGCCTTGTTAAGTGAACTGAGTTCAAAATATTAAAATTTCACGCTGATGTCGACTTACATAATCTTTTCAACTTTAAATGTGAAGAAATGGTAGGTCGTACCGAATCAAAACCCTTGGCTTGTGAAAACATATTCAAGCACATAATACATAAAATTATACAGTACGGCTGTTTAATGTCGCAAGGCAGCTAGTATTGGGTGGTTGTCCCTATCAGAACTCATTTGCAGTACAATACAATATGCTACTCAATGGGATATCTATTAAAATGTCAATATATATATTCAAAGGCAAAACAACCAAAGCCAGATATCAATAGCATATAACTTGCTTACTTGACATCAATGCTCAGCACCATTTCCAAATTGGGGGGGTTACATGATCGAAGCAAGTCCTTAAAATTTCTGGTCATTTTTTTTTCTCAATTGGGTAGGTAAGTTAATACCGAAGAGTATGGTGTAAAGGTGTACCAGAATAACCACTCATTCCACTGTCACATCATATGCATCCCATATCTAGACACTGCTTTGAATGCACAGTGAACAGAAAGTTCCATTTGGTTAGACATACTAAAAGTAGGAGATATGACATTCCACATAGCTTCAGTGGAGTTATCATATAAGTACTTGGCTGAGAATTTCTGATATTTAAGAAGTAAATATGTATTATATACATATGCATAATTATATGTAAATATGTCTTCAAGAGAGATAATTATTTACAAATATTTGGAATAATGTGTAAGAAGCAAAATGTATCCCTCACCAGAATTGTGTTATACAGATATATGATCAGTGTTTATATATTCTTGTTATTTAACAAGTTTGATATAAACTTTGAGTGCACAAACACACACATGCACAAACATATCTACAAATGTGTACTTTCATCCAGGTAATTAAACTGCTTCTTTGATAATTAACCCATTCACCCCTTAAGTCACATTTGAACCTTACCAAATTAAAAACTGGGTAAGTCCATTTTAAAATGTAGGGGTGAAAGAGTTAGAAGATAGCTTCATAAAATATAAAATAAAAAGATGCTTATTTGAGATTAGTCTCTAAAACGAACTTATGTTTCTGGTAAGCCCTACAGAAGAAACAAGTGTCAAAGTTCTAAAATTGGTTGAACCAGAAGACCTACTTGTATTAGTTTGTACTCCCAGTAATCAACTTTTCTCCACTGGATCTGAGCCAGAACAAGCTTCACCAGAAGACGTACTTGCACCACTATTAGTATACTCAACGTTTCTAAACTTAACACTATCTTTATTGTGTGCTCCAGATCGGAGGTGTCGGTTCAAGTACTTTTTGTCCGAGAACCCTTTGCCACAGACATCACAGACAAATGGCTTCTCCCCAGTATGTATCTTAACATGGCGTTGTTTGTCGCACAAATTGGTGAAACTTTTCCCACACATTTCACATTTATATGGTTTCTCTCCAGTGTGAATCCTGAGATGGACCTTCAGAGCCGAGTCTCTGCTGTAAAATTTTGAACAGATGTCACATTTGTGAAGTTTTTGTCCCACATGTTCTATGGTGTGTGTAAGAAGTGCGACTGAATCGTCAAAACCTTTCCTGCATATGTTACAGTTGAACGGCTTCTCCTTGGCATGAGCTTTCAAATGTTGTGTAAGTTGAGTTTTCCCTATGAAACCTTTCCCGCATATATCACACACGTGAGGTTTCAGATCCTGGTGAGTCAACATGTGCCGTTCCAGTGAGTACTTTGTTTTGTAAGCCGATCCACAAACATCACACATGTGGCTTTTCTCATTCGAATGTTTCAACAGATGAACCTTCAGTACCTTCTTAGTTGCAAGTCCGAGTCCACATTCTTCACACTTGAACGGCCAACGACCGGTGTGGAACAACATGTGGCGTCTCAGTCCTTCTTGAGACCTGAACTGTCGACCACAAAAATCACATAGTTCCTCTGAATGTAGATATTTGTGTTTTTTGAGTAGCTGTAGCGTTAGTTTGACCTTCCCACAAACGTCACAGGTGTACGGGGAAGGTTCCTCTGCAGAAACACATTGGAGATTGGCCAGGTGGTTCTTATACGTTTTCTCATATCGGAATTCTTTCCGGCAGTTGTCACATCGGAATCTAGCATCAGTCACCTGGTGAGACGTACGGTGCCGATTTAGGGACGTCCTGGTGTTGAAGTCTTCCCCACACACAGAACAGATGTGAGGTGATTGTCCATGACGTATTGTTTCATGGTCCAGTAGCGAGGCTTTCAGACGAAATCCCTTACCACAGACGTTACACACATGGGGCCGTTCACCTGTATGTATCATCATGTGAATATTCAACGCATGGCGAGATTTATATTCCTTCTCGCACAACTCACATTTAAATGGATTGATATCTTTGTGTTTTTTAGTCATATGTTCCTTGTAAGTATTCATAAACCTGAAGTTCTTCCCACAATGTCTGCAGCTAAACTGTTCAAAAGCCTTTGTTCTTTTCCTTGCTGTTGCCCGTGTTCTAACATTGTGTTCTGGATGACTTTTCTGACTCACCTTTTTCCCACAGCTATCAGATTTCTGGATAAATGTTTTCTTTGAAATGTGAAGTTTGGTGTGTTTTTTCAAGGTGGATTCGTCCTTGAAGCCCCGGCCACATTGGTTGCAGTTAAACGAGTCAATCAATTTGATTCTCAGATTTTTATTTTGTTGAGTTGTGGGGGAATCATCAGAATTATCCCCCTCTTGTATGCTATCAGCATCTAATGCAGACCCAACAGTGCCATCAGATAGAGACACCATCTTGGATTCAGTTACAAAGACTCCGGAAGAAGACGGGGAGTGGGTTGTCCTAGACTGATTATCATCATTAGACATGGAAAGTCTGTTTCCAGTTTTAACAGATTCATCCAAAGATTTGTGGTCAAAAAATTCCTTTTTACGAATATCCTGCTCATGGAATTTGTTTGACGACCTTGCGATAACGAGTCTCTGCCCACGTCCTTGGACAGCCCCCGTCAGGTCATATCCCTGATCCTGCATTTCAACCCCCTCAGTAGGGGAGTCTCCATAGTCTGTCATTTTGACACACACTGTCGCAGAATATCCCTGATCCTGCATTCCAACATCCTCCGTTGGGGAGTGTCCATGGTCAGTCTTTTGCACATCCTCCGTTAGAGATTGTCCCTGGTCCGTCCTTTGGACATCCTCCGTTGGGGAGTATCCACCGTCCGTCCTTCTGACACCCTCTTTTGGAGAGAATCCACCATCTATCATTTGGAAACCCTCTGTCGGAGAGTGTCCATGGTCCGTCCTTTGGATACCCTCTGTCGGGGAGGGTCCATGGTCCGTCCTTTGGATACCCTCTGTCGGAGAGTGTCCATGGTCCGTCCTTTGGATACCCTCAGTCGGAGAGTGTCCATGGTCCATCCTTTGGACACCCTTTGTGGGGGAGTATCCATGGGGTTTGCTTTGTTCCGGTGCTGGCTCCACTTTGATTGTGGTAAGAGATGTATCCAAGGTTGTAACTACGGTTGTCTCTTCTGCTGAAAAAATATTTGTAAGGTTTACTTGTCAATGGAATAGTATACAGACTAACAATGGGTAACACATAATTGATGATAAAGCAATATACAGGCCAACAATGGGTAACACATAATTGATGATAAAACAATATACAGGCCAACAATGGGCAACACATAATTGATGATAAAACAATATACAGGCCAACAATGGGTAACACATAATTGATGATAAAACAATATACAGGCCAACAATGGGTAACACATAATTGATGATAAAACAATATACAGACTAACAATGGGTAACACATAATTGATGATAAAGCAATATACCGGCCAACAATGGGTAACACATAATTGATGATAAAGCAATATACAGGCTAACAATGGGTAACACATAATTAATGATAAAACAATATACAGACTAACAATGGGTAACACATAATTCATGATAAAGCAATATACAGGCCAACAATGGGTAACACATAATTGATGATAAAGCAATATATACAACCCAACAATGTGATGTGCAACAAGCCTACAGTGTGTAAGGTATACTCGTCCATAAAACCAGGTACAAGCCAAGGTGTGTTATGTTTAAATCTCAGGCATTATGAATTGGAGAAAGAGTAATATGAAAGTTAACAATGTGAGAGATATCATCATCAATAAGTCAATTTACAAGCAAACAATGTGTAGCATATGTATGGTTCTAGTAAATAAGACAATGTACAAGTCAAGGACAGAAACAGTAATTGGCAAAAACAAACAAATTACAATGTAACAACAGCCGAGAAAGGGCACTTGAACATATATACAAGTATTAAGATCTAAAACTTTTGACAACAGTAATACAGTTTTTGTTTACCCTGGTATAAAGGGTAGTGATATTTTAATTTAATTGTGATTTGAAATGTGAAGATATGGAACTAGACATAATGTGATTGGTTTTGATATGTTGTTTCCAAGAGAGCCTCAGGTTAGACATATGGCAAATATGGGCCCTGGGGTTGAGACGGGATTCCCCAGTCATAACAATTGTATGATGTTACATCAATAAGTGAATAACACAATAACGTCACATCAACAATGCATTGAGTCAGTCACGTCAATGTTGCACTATACATCCCTAAATACGACAGCTAGGGCCAACAGAGGAAGAGAAAAGAATATTCAACCCCTTGAGATGAGATGGGGAATCTCAACAATCGGGGAAAATTCTGAAGTTGATAAACACTCAGAAAAGTCTTGTGTTTGGCAACCTTAAAAATCTTGCCCCTCAGGTTGAGATTCCTTTTTCTCCTACCCTTCACAGGTGTGTCTCCCATTTTAGCCAGGAAAGATCAGCTTGTCACCCCCTAGGGGGAGATAGCCTTCAATTGTGACGTCATTCAAATGTGTCATCGGTAATTGTAACGTCATCAAAAGTGAATGGCGATATTCATATCCCACATGTGTTTTTGTTTACAAACATGGTAGACTACTGTCTGTGGAGTTGTGACTGAAATAATAGGATGGGAGAAAAATAATCATCCCCTACCTTGATTGTGTAACAGAGATATCTCCAACTCTCGGGTGATTTTTTTGGTTGTCTAACCCTCGGCTGTCAAGAGAGCCTGAGGTTAGACAACCAAAAAACCTCACCCCTCGGGTAGGAGATTTCTCTGTCACACCTCCAAGGTAGGAGAAGATTCTACTAATCTCCTGTATAACAATGTAGTTTAAGTTCTCTGGGAATAGGGGTGATACATAATATTGCAATCATCAATATATTTCAATAACTGTTTATCAATACTACCGGTATTATGAGAATATGATTTTGAAATGGCAATTTACATTTGAAGTACAACAATTTTCAGCTCATTTTTGTTGGTTATGGCATGGTATGGAAATGATTTGACATCAGTGTATCCCATCCTTATCAGAGAATGATCTGACATCAGTGTATCCCATCCCTATCAGGGAATGTTCTGGCATCAGTGTATCCCATCTCTATCAGGGAATGTTCTGACATCAGTGTATCCCATCCCTATCAGGGAATGATCTGACATCAGTGTATCCCATCCCTATCAAGGAATGTTCTGACATCAGTGTATCCCATCTCTATCAGGGAATGTTCTGACATCAGTGTATCCCATCCCTATCAGGGAATGGTTTGACATCAGTGTATCCCATCCCTATCAGGGAATGTTCTGACATCAGTGTATTCCATCCCTATCAGGGAATGTTCTGACATCAGTGTATCCCATGTCTATAAGGGAATGATCCGACATCAGTGTATCACATCCCTATCAAGGAATGTTACGACATCAGTGTATCCCATCCCTATCAGGGAATGATCTGACATCAGTGTATCACATCCCTATCAAGGAATGTTATGACATCAGTGTATCCCATCCCTATCAGGGAATGATCTGACATGAGTGTATCCCATCCCTATCAGGGAATGATCTGACATCAGTGTATCCCATCCCTATCACGGAATGATCTGACATCAGTGTATCACATCCCTATCAAGGAATGATCTGACATCAGTGTATCCCATCCCTATCAGGGAATGATCTGACATCAGTGTATCTCATCCCTATCAGGGAATGATCTGACATCAGTGTATCCCATCCCTATCAGGGAATGTTCTGACATCTGTGTATCACATCCCTATCAGGGAATGTTCTGACATCATTGTATCCTATCCCTATCAGAGAATGATCAGACATCAGTGTATCCCATCCCTATCAGGGAAGGATCTGACATCAGTGTATCACATCCCTATCAGGGAATGTTCTGACATCAGTGTATCTGATCCCTATCAGGGAATGATCCGACATCAGTGTATCCCATCTCTATCAGAGAATGATCTGACATCAGTGTATCCCATCCCTATCAGCAAATGATCTGACATCAGTGTATCCCATCTCTATCAGGGAATGATCTGACATCAGTGTATCCCATCCCTATCAGGGAATGTTACGACATCAGTGAATCCCATCCCTATCAGGGAGTGATCTGACATCAGTGTATTTCATCCCTATCAGGGAATGTTCTGACATCAGTGTATTTCATCCCTATCAGGGAATGATCTGACATCAGTGTATCCCATCTCTATCAGGGAATGATCTGACATCAGTCTATCCCATCCCTATCAGGGAATGGTCTGACATCAGTCTATATCATCCCTATCAGGGAATGATCTGTCATCAGTGTATATCATCCCTATCAGAGAATGATCCAACATCAGTGTATCACATTTAATTGTCTACTGCAATTAAATGTGATACACTGATGTTGGATCATTCCCTGATAGGGATGAAATTCACTGATGTCAGATCACTCCCTGATAGGGATGGGATACACTGATGTCAGAACATCCCTATCAGGGAATGTTCTGACATCAGTGTATCCCAGCTCTATCAGGGAATGGTCTGACATCAGTGTATATCATCCCTATCAGGGAATGTTCTGACATCAGTGTATATCATCCCTATCAGGGAATGATCCAACATCAGTGTATCACATTTAATTGTCTACTGCAATTGTAGAGTGGCATTGTGGCAATCGCTTGATTACCATACATATCCTGTGATCTCTGTGTTTCATTTGCCAACCTCTGACCTTAAAGGCTTTCTATTGGTCTTCTCGGACCTTAAATATTTTCTATTGGTCACCTCTGACGTTAAAGGTTTTCTATTGGTGACCTCTGACCTTAAAGGTTTTCTATTGGTCTTCTCTGACCTTAAAGGTTTTCTATTGGTCACCTCTGACCTTAAAGGTTTTCTATTGGGTCACCTGTGAACTGAAAGAATTACAATTGGTCTTCTCTGACCTTAAAGGTTTTCTATTGGTCTTCTCTGACCTTAAAGGTTTTCTATTGGTCACCTCTGACCTTAAAGGTTTTCTATTGGTCACCTGTGAACTGAAAGGTTTTCAACTGGTCACCTCTGACCTTAAAGGCTTTCTATTGGTTACCTGTGAACTGAAAGGTTTTCTATTGGTCACCTCTGACCTCATGCAGACAACTGTTTCTCACAACAAACTCTCCAAAATCAATACAACTTCTTTATTCTCCTAATTGAAACATACTGAAATACATGTGCTAGGAAATAAAGTACATACATTGTGTATTTATGTACCTAACATGGTTGATGTATTAACTTACTGTGAAATAAAAAGTCAAAAGGCCATCAATCCAGCTGAACTTTTTAAAGAAAATATAGCATTCCTTGACTTGTAACAGATGTTCAGCTTATTTATCTCACTTCTGAGAGTAAATTTTATTCTTAAGAGTATTCGAAAAGAACAAACAAGGACCCAATGGGCCTGCATCACTCACCTGGTATTAACCTCACACTTGTAATCTTAAAAGGGGACTTAAATACAGCTACAGGTAGAATATAAGTGTTTTATTCATAATAACATATTAAAAGATTTAAACATATGACGCCTGTGACCTTGAATGTTGAACAAGAACATAAGGTTGAAAGTGGGTCAAGGTCATTTATTTGAACATACTTGGTAATCCTTCATCCCAGCATGCTACAGGCCGTATTTCAGTACCCTGGACCTTTTGGTTATTGAGGAGAAGTGGTTTGAATATTTTACGACATTTGACTCCTGTGACCTTGAACGTCGGTCAAGGTCATTCATTTGAATAAATTTTGTAGCCTTTCATCCCAGCATGCTACAGGCGCAATATCAGTACCCTGGGCGTTTTGGTTATTGAGAGGAAGTTGTTTGAAGATTTTAAGACATTTTATCCCTGTGACCTTGAAAGTGGGTCAAGGTCATTCATTTGAACAAACTTGGTAGTCCTTCATCCCAGCATGCTACAGGCCCAATTTCAGTACCCTGGGCGTTTTGGTTATTGAGAAGAAGTTGTTTGAAGATTCTACGTCATTTGACCCATGTGGCCTTGAAAGTGGGTCAAGGTCATTCATTTGAACAATCATGGTAGCCCTTCAGTTCAGCATGCTACAGGCCCAATACCAGTACCCTGGGCCTTTTAGTTATTGAGAAGAAATTGTTTGAAGATTTTACGACATTTTACCCCTGTGACCTTGAAAGTGGGTCAAGGTCATGCATTTGGACAAACTTGGAAGTCCTTCATCCCAGCATTTGACAGGCCCAATATAAGTACCCTGGGCCTTTTGGTTATTGAGAAGTCGTTTGGAAATTTTAAGACATCTGACCCCAGTGACCTTGAAAGTGGGTCAAGGTCATTCATTTGAACAAACTTGCTGGCCCTTCTTCCCAGCATGCTACAGGCGCAATATCAGTACCCTGGGCCTTTTGGTTATTAAGAAGAAGTTGTTTGAAGATTATAAGACATTAGACCCCTGTGACCTTGAAAGTCGGTCAAGGTCATTCATTTGAACAAACTTGGTAGCCCATCATCCCAGCATGCTACTGGCCAAATATCATCAGCCTGGGCCTCTTGGTTATTCAGAAGAAGTTGGTTAAAGTAAAAAGTTGACGCCAGACGGACAACGAACGCTGCACCATGCCATAAGTTCACTTGGCCCTTCGGGCCAGGTGAGCTAAAAATACCAAGGTTATATCCCTCCCAGCCCCTTGGGCTATTGTTTTGTCAATTTCAAAGTGCATGGCTTTTTCTCCTTATTTTTGGAATGGGACTTGTAGCTTTGAAAGTGGAAAATATGTGTTGTGATAAACCAAAGTTGAAATTTTCCGAATTTTACCATATATACTAAATTCTTATATTTAAAAAAAAATACCATTTAACAGACTAATTGCATCCTTATTTATGAAAGATAATTTCATTTTAGATTTTGAATTGTCATCTGAACAGAAGCAGAGATTTTTTTTGTTTTTCTTTGACATTTGGAAATTGGGAAATTTTCAAGAGATTTTTGGATATAATGGTACTTTTTCCATTTCGAATGGAGCCTAATTTTGGCACTGCAGTGTGAAACCATAACATCACCTTGTGTGATCAAATTATGGATTTGGAATAGAACAAGAGGCCCAATGGGCCTGCATCGCTCACCTGGTATAAAACTCACACTTGTAACCTTAAAAGTGATCTAAAATAAAGCTACAGGCAAAATATCAGTATTTATGATTAAAATTCGTTCAAAAGACCCTGTTATTTTTTTTTTATACATTTCACCCCTGTGATTGAAAGTCGAACAAAGTCATTATGTTGAACACATTGTATAGCCTTTCATCTCAGGATGCAACTTGCAAAGTATAAACATCCTGGGACCCATGGTTATTCATAAGAGGTTGTTTAAAGATTTTAAACAAATTTGACCCCTGTGACCTTGAATATAAGTCAAAGTCATTCACTTTAACAAACATAGTAGTCCTTGATCCCAGCATATGCTACTAACTAAATATCAACATCCTGAGCCTTTTGG